AAATTTGCAAACTTTGCATGGCTATATTTTCCGCATTTTACAACATTTCGCAACCAAACTTTGCAATCGTTCTAGCTGTGATGATTTATTCGAATCTCTTTGCCTAGTTTTAAAATTAGTCTATAATAGGAATTGTCTATTGCCTGCAGACATTTCTAAAGTAAGGATTTTCCCTTTGAAACGTGGAAAAGTCCCACTTATATGTTTCGGGCAGTTGTATACACTGACTGTCTGTTATTGATAAAGTAAACGTTTAAACTATATTTAGTGTGGATTGGCAGTTTGGTAACACTATTCAACTGTATACTATCACCCCTCACAATATTCCTGGCACAACGTCACGGGATGAGAACAACGCAGCTGATTGGTGGAATTATCTTAACGCTCGGAATCGTCGCCACCTCATTGGTCAATTCCGTAAACCTAATGTTCCTTACATACGGGACTCTAGTCGGCGTTGGCTCGGCCCTAGTCTACTCCCCAGCGTTCGCGGCCATCCCAGAGTACTTCGCGAAGTACGTTTCCATAGCAACAGGTATTGGCTCGTCAGGCATGACCTTGGGACTGATCTTCTTCTCCTTTACCCTTCCCATAACACTCGGCGAGATCGGTTGGCGGAAGACGCTGTGGGGGGTCGCCGCGATCGGACCGCTGATCAGCGTTTGCGGGCTCGCGTTTTCTAAGCCCACCGTGCAACCGGCTAGCGGTGTGAGTGACGAGAAAGCGGCGCAGGGGGTGGATGAAGAGTCCTGGTGGAAGGGTTTACTTCAGAAGAAATCGTTCATCCTGTGGTGCACTGCGAGTTTTATTTTTGCTTCTGTTGAATTTGTTCCACTCTTTCTCGTGGTAATTTGATTTGCATGATACACCAACTATCACACATTCACACCACAATACACTAAGAGAATACCTGTCTGTTTGTCTGTGTTTGTTTCGTACTAATGTATGAAATACTTTCACAGAAGAATAGAGATATCCGTCTGCACGTTTGTTTCATATTGTTTGTTTGTTTGTTTGTTTGTTTGTTTGTTTGTTTGTTTGTTTGTTTGTTTGTTTGAATTTTGTGTCTGGTTGCTTGTTTGTCTGTCTAAGTAGGATTTTCTGTTCATCACTCTGTTTGGTTGTTTGTTTGTCTGTCCCTTTGTTTTAGATAAATTGATATTACATTAAAAAGGATGTCAAATATTCAATAACACAAATTATGTAAAGCTAAAACTTATTTTTACAGTAACTTAGACTTCACTTATAAATCGACTACTGTGCACTGTTATTTGATTGTTTGTTTGTTTGTTTGTTTGTTTGTTTGCTGTCTGTCTGTCTGTCTGTTTATTTGTTTTTTTGTATGGTTGTTTGTTTGTTTACTTGTTTGTTAGTATATCAGTTTGTTTGTTTGTTTGTTTCTTTGTGTTTGTTTGTTTGTTTGTTTGTTAGCCAGTCTATCTGGTTGTTTAATTGTTTTCTGTTGGTTGTTTACTTGTTTGTATGTTTATATTCACGAGACCTTACGAGCATAATAAACGACCATCTTCCCTTGTCTTTGCAGGCACAATGCGCAAGAGACTCTGGCATCCCAACCAGTCAAACCAAATGGCTCAACATCGTGTTCGGTTTTGGCTGCTTCGCTGGCAAGCTCGCCTCAGGCTCCCTGGCGGAACCGCTCCTTCGTCGAGACATGTGCAAACACTTGTACTTCGCCACTCTCTTTGCTTACAGCCTCTCCTCGTTCCTAGTCTCCCTCAATCCTGTATTCGAGTATTTGATCGCCTACATGGTGTTCGTTGGCTTTCTACAAGGCTTGGTCGAGAGTCTCTTCTTTTTGGTCAATCTTGAAATTGCTGGCATGAACGCTTATAGAACAGCTTGTGGGTTTACACTGGCGCTCACGTCAGTTTCTATGACAACAGGCCCACCACTTGCAGGTAAGGAAGGCCCGCCCGGAACCCAATTTGTAGCCATGAGACCGAATATTCTGACTTGTTTTTACAAAAGCCCAACTTCTTGGTTTCTCCAATGATTTTGGCGTAACCTTAATTCGTCATCGAAATGCTGACGCCATGGTCCTAGCCGGTGCGTTTATGAGGAGGCATTCACCCCCTGATAATATTCAAAATGGTGAACGTCCAGGGGGGATGCCTCAAAAGCGCACTGGTTAGGACCATGGCGTAAGCATTTTGACGACAAATCATGGCATGGCAGCGGTTGAGTCGACCTTCTGCGTGTCTATTCTGTGGTTCCATTCCGTTTACATTATCAGAACAGTGAAAAACAAATAAACTCAAACTATATTTCATATTTTCTACAGGTCTTGTTTACGAAGCATACCCTCATATCCGATATCTTCTGCTGTCAATCTCAGGCGCAAGTTTCTTCGCCAGCGTTGTCATGGCAATCATTCCTTGCGTCACTCCACGTCGTAGCTACACGCTAAACCACAGTTACCTTACCAACCAAGAGTACTGGCGTGTGTATTGTCATAATGTCTCCCCCAGACCTCCGCGCCGCACGAGTGCATTCGTGATTGCGAACGAGGCCGCGGTTGCTGGCATGCATAAGGAGGCCAGTCCAAATACGGTCATTCATATACCGAAGACACTTTCAAGTACAGAGCTATTAAGGCAAGTCATGTAGACACACCGACAACAAGGCTTTGGAGCGAAGTGTTCCCCAGAAACCCTTTCTGCTGTTTCCACGGAATTTTCGGGCGTTTGTGTCGGATTAAAGAGCTCTCCCAAACCGAGGGCCATAGGTCAGCTTGTTCCAACACCCATTTTGGAATCCAAGCTAGCGCGTTCACATTTTGGCAAAGTTTTCTCAAAGACTATGCCGTGATATGAATCCCATCAACAACAAAATGTCTCGTTTATTTTTATTTCTTAAAAGATTCGGGCGTGAAGGGGAGGGTTATATAATTTAATCTAGTCAATGGGAAAAGGAAAGGAAAATTTTTCTGCAATTTTATCATTTTGTTTTAATAGTACAAAAATTCAAAATATCTATAATTTCAAAACTAATGTTTCAAATAACGTCAAACAGGAAAGGTTAAAAACCTAGCTATATTAATCGTAAAACTACAACATATATATTTAAAGTTTGTTCGAACGCACTGCGTTCGAACGTATATCAATCATGTTTCGCTCGCTACTCTGGTTTAAATAAATGATTACAAAGCCCAGTCGAATTACAAAGCGCAGTCGAATATATTTGCCAGAGGAATATATGCATCTCATTGGCAGGTGACGTCATCCCTTGGGTATTTAAGAAGCCACGATCGCAATTTTAGATCACCCCTGATGAAGACACTAGACTGGAGTGTCGAAACGTTGGGTCTTGATTACAATTCGACTGGGCTTTGTAATCATTTATTTAAACCAGAGTAGCGAGCGAAACATGATACAACATATATATGCTTAAATATTTTATCATTCTTCGTCTTAGTATCAATGAGCTCTCCAAGATGGCGGAATTGACGTCCAAAATCTTAAACAGTTTTAATACAATTTCTCCACCAAATTCCAGTTTTTTTCTAACAGTATCGCTAGTTATCAGTACATAAAACCATGATATATTCTTTAAATCGAAGTGAAATATTAGCTTTCATAGGTCCATGTGAAATGACAAAATGTAATATGAAGTTCAAAATAAAATTGTTGTTAAAAAAACCCCAGGAAATTTCGGCACAGCTTCGTGTAAACCGCGCAGACAAAACAATAGAAAGGGACTGGCACTGGACGTCAATATTCGTCATCTTCATTATTTTTCACGAGAGTTCTCACTCCAGATAAATATAGAGAGCACGCTGGTTTTTCATTCATATATAAAATATATAAAGACAAGATGTGAAAAGATATAAACATCACATGAGCTGAAATAGGTGCTTTCCTGAAGAGATCTATTTCAGTTAAAATTCATGGTTTCATTATTTGGCTCATTGGCTTCAATGTGTCTGTTTTTCTATATAGTGCTCCATTACATATCAATGGTACCCTGGATCAGAGGCTTTCCTGTTCAGCTGTAGCCTGCACTCAGGCGCAGAGCTAGTGTCGCCTTCAGAAAAGCAGAAAACCTCTGCGCCCCAGGGTAGCAGTGACGGACACACGCGAAATACTGGTCGGGGGGATTTTGGTTGAGATCATATTGCCACCGCTTTGTCGCTACAAATTTCATTTCTTTTTGCCCTAAATTTCATGCAAATTTGCTTAAAATATAGCCTGGCAATGTTTTCATGGTTGGAAAATTATTGCAACAGTTTTGTGACGCAATTGTTTAGCTACCATTCAAAAGGCTTGCAAAAATTAGGAGGGGTCCCCCCTCCCCCTATTGTTCGCTACTGTTACATACTCGCATGGTTATTGAACTCGGTTATTCCGTTCTATCAGTTCCTATACTATTCAATATGTTCACTTTCTATATATTTACTATTTCGAAGCATCTCAGTAAGGTCACACGCGGCTAGTTTCATACCAAGGCCAAGTCAACACGCTAAGCCAAGTCTAGTCAATAATAGCTGGGCTTACTTGTGAGAAATTCAAATCATCTATATCCACCGCCAACAGAGCATCCATGAAGCCAGACTATTCTCCATGTTTCAGATTAGTATTACGTGATTGGCTACGAGTTCACTAGAAAAACAAAAAGGAAAGAAACTATTTTTAGCAGTCTTAAAATTGGGCCACTTTTAGGTTGGAATAAGGCAAGGATGACAAGGGTTGTATTCAAACTCTGTGAAACTCGTTAATAATTCATGAAGAAAACTCAAAAGAAATCATGACCATGCTGATTTACATAAACTTTAAGTTCAATTTTCTCACCAAATATAATTTATTTTAAATTGTTGAAGAATACGAATGTTCTCATCAAGACATTTCACTCGGTTATTCCGTTCTGTCAGTTCCTATACTATTCAATATGTTTACTTTCTATATATTTACTATTTCGAAGCATCTCAGTAAGGTCACACGCGGCTAGTTCCATACCAAGGCCAAGTCAACACGCTAAGCCAAGTCTAGTCAATAATAGTTGGGCTTACTTGTGAGAAATTCAAATCATCTATATCCACCGCCAACAGAGCATCCATGAAGCCGGACTATTCTCCATGTTTCAGATTAGTATTACGTGATTGGCTACGAGTTCACTAGAAAAACAAAAAGGAAAGAAACTATTTTTAGCAGTCTTAAAATTGGGCCACTTTTAGGTTGGAATAAGGCAAGGATGACAAGGGTTGTATTCAAACTCTGTGAAACTCGTTAATAATTCATGAAGAAAACATAAAAGAAATCATGATCATGCTGATTTACATAAACTTTAAGTTCAATTTTCTCACCAAATATAATTTATTTTAAATTGTTGAAGAATACGAATGTTCTCATCAAGACATTTCACAGACATTTCACTCGGTTATTCCGTTCTGTCAGTTCCTATACTATTCAATATGTTTACTTTCTATATATTTACTATTTCGAAGCATCTCAGTAAGGTCACACGCGGGCTAGTTCCATACCAATGCGAAGTCAACACGCTAAGCCAAGTCTAGTCAATAATAGTTGGGCTTACTTGTGAGAAATTCAAATCATCTATATCCACCGCCAACAGAGCATCCATGAAGCCAGACTATTCTCCATGTTTCAGATTAGTATTACGTGATTGGCTACGAGTTCACTAGAAAAACAAAAAGGAAAGAAACTATTTTTAGCAGTCTTAAAATTGGGCCACTTTTAGGTTGGAATAAGCAAGGATGAAAATGACAAGGGTTGTATTGGAACTCTGTGATACTCATAATTCATGAAGAAAACACAAAAGAAATGATGAGCGTGAAGGAGTTTGTATATTTGATACAAAATCATGCTGATTTACATAAACTTTAAGTTCAATTTTCGCACCACAGATCAGTCATTTATTTTAAATTGTTGAAGAATACGAATGTTCTCATCAAGACGTTTCACAGCCGTGTTGTAGCAGCTATACAAACTATCGCCTTCAGCTCGAGTTTGTATATCCTATACAACACGGCCGCGAATGTTGTAACTAGAACATAAAGCCCGTTTGCCACTAGCATATCCCGTTTTACACACGTCAGCAAAAACATTGGCGACAGAGGAAGAAGTCGCTTCGTGGAAACAATACCAATGGAAAACGGGCTTAAGGTTGCTAATCTAAAGCTAGTACTGACAAAGGGAGAAGTCGAATTGCATTTTATCATATTCCGGTAGTTCAAACACAAATCACGACAGCATATTGCAGAATACTACCTACACTGGACCACCACATTTGAGATATCTTTTTCAGGTAGTTCACACACAAACCACGACAGCTTGTTGCAGAATACTACCTAGATATACACTGGACCACCACGTTTAAGATATCTTTTTCAGGTAGTTCACACACAAACCACGACAGCTTATTGTAGAATACTACTTACACTGGACCACCACGTTTGAGATATCTTTTTCAGTACACAAACCACGACAGCATATTGTAGAATACTACCTACACTGGACCACCACGTTTGAGATATCTTTTTCAGTACACAAACCACGACAGCTTATCAGTGTAGAATACTTGCACTGTCCTTGCCAGTGTAGGTAAAGTCAATCAAATGAACAAGCTTTCATTGGTAGGGATACAAGTACCTGAAAAATATATAAGGAGAATTTCGACGTTTCGAGCGAAGGCCCTTCATCTGCCAAGTTACTCGCCAAGTAACTCTAGACGAAGGGCCTTCGCTCGAAACGTCGAAATTCTCCTTATATATTTTTCAGGTACTTGTATCCCTACCAACGAAAGCTCGTTCATATTGCACAACAGCGGCGGCGGAACAGATTTCATTCTGGGGGGGCTAAATTTTTTTCCGTGACCCCCCCCCCCCGTCGCCAAAAAAAATTTCGGTCAGTGTACCAGTTTGGGGGTACAAAAAATTTTCCGGACATACACAAGAAAAGGGATGAAAAAATTTTTTCCGCACACATAACAAAACATTTTTCCGTAAATACACAATTTTTGAACAAAATACGGCAAATTTTTCCCCTTATACATAAATTTTCAAAAATTAACCTAAATTTTTCCTTAATTATCAAAGTTTTCCAGAAAAAACTAAATTTTCTGCCCCCCACTTTTACTTCTGGGGGGGCTTTAGCCCCCCTGTTCCGCCGCCCCTGTTGCACAATACTACCTATACACTGGGCCACTACGTCTGAGATATCTTTTTCAGATAGTTCAGACGATACTAGCAAACTACATGAAATATTGCTCACAAACCATGGCAGCTTATGTGGAATATTTATATACTGTCTAATCAGCCATTCCGAAGTTGATGAGTGGACTGGGACGAGTGTTAAAAAGTGCCCAAATTCATCCTCGTTCCCAGGGCTTCTCGGCTGCCTGCGTTGCCGTAAGGCAGCCAAGAAGCCCTGGGAACGAGGATGGCCCAAATTAAGAAATGAACCAAATCACTAAAAAGACCACCTCAAAATTAGTAAGTATACAAAGTTTGAAGACGTTTACATGAATACCCTTCGAATAATAAGCTATCGAAAATTATGAAATTACTGATTAAAAGATTGTTTTTGGGACAAGAATTGCGATACATTTCATAGTAAATATCGCGATTTTCGAAAGCTTGTTATTCGAAGAATATTCATGTAAACGTCTTCAAACTTTGTATACTTACTAATTTTGAGGTGGTCTTTTTAGTGATTTGGTTCATTTCTTAATTTGGGCACTTTTTAACACTCGTCCCCAGTCCACTCATCAACTTCGGAATGGCTAACACCAGACGATTTTGCGTTTATCAATCTAAAACACTCGGTTGCCGCCCCGTGTTATAGGTTAGACCGACGAATATTCTGCGGCGTGTCCATGCATATTTAAGCTGGTTTTCCACTCGGGGGGAATTTGTTCGGAATATACAAATTATATCGACGTAATAAGCGAGGCGACAAAGGGAAAATCGCTCCGCGCGAACAAATGTGCACACTTGTAAATCGCAGTAAAGATCAGAGGCTGGTTGTGTAAAACTTTTAATCTTTTCAATCACTTTTTTGTGATTAAATAGTGATTAACTCTACTTTCAGAAATTCTGATTGGTTAACTTAATGCACTTCATCATAGATAAATTTAACCACTTTTTTTATACAGGGTGTCCCAAAAAAACGAAAACTATTGAAATAAATGTATTGTTAGAATTTGAATGCCTCAGCACTCTGCTGAACCCACATGTGCATCTTTTTAATTCCAAAGAGCAGAAAATCGTGCGCTTTACAAAGATATTCTAATTTCTTAATATAAGTCAATATTTAATATAGCTTATAGTGCTAGGGCATTCAAATTTTATCAATAATTTCAATGGATTTGCGTTTTTTTAGGGGACAACCTGTACAACCATAGATATCTTATATACACTAGATAGTGCATCTAATTATTCTGCAATTCAAAAATTGAAGCCGTGATTGCAGTCTCAGGTCGTTCCCATGAAATGAGAATATTCGTATGTTTTCTATTTCTTAAACAGGGAACTTAAACATTAAGTTAACCCTATTCCAAATACGTTTTTAAACTATTCAAATGATGAAAGTTGTTGTTGTTTTTAAGCGTTTATTAGCAAGTGGGAACGACCAACATGGCCGCCATCTATTCAAATGGGGGTAACCGCTGGAATATTCTTGGCTTCAATTTTACTAAAAGAGATGCGCTATCTAGTCTATATAAGATATATATGTGTACAACCAACCCCAGAAAGTCATGTTTATGAAAGTTATCAATAGAGACAATACTAATTCACGCCGTAAATCAAAACGACGTATCACTAGATTGACGCTGTAAATGCACGCTGTAATGAGGCGCGAGATTGTCCCTATGGGCAGTGAATACTAACAAAGTAAACAAATAAATTCATTTTACAAGTACGTTAAAATATTCGCGACTGATCTTTATGAGCATACTTGTAAAACTCATTAATAATTCATCACAAAATTCTCCTGATTTGCATAAGCGCTCGACATTCTCAGTTCAAATGACTTCTTTTTGAATACTTTCTTAAAACACAATTTGAAATCCTTAAGGTCCAGACACACCGGGCGCGATTCGACAACGCGACGCGATTTTTCGATTTTCACTGACCGATAACTTTGATCCTATAGAGTATAGTTTGAATTTTCCAAATATTTAGAAGCGCTATAACATTTTGAGTTATTTGGCTACATATCTTTCAAAATTTGCTCTCATTGGCTGTTTTATTAACTTTCAAAATTAAAAAATCGCGTCGCGTTCTCGAATCGCGTCCAGTGTGTCTGGACCTTTACGTTTCGCAAGGAGTATAAAGGTCCAGACACACCGGACGCGATTCGACAACGCGACACGATTTTTTAGTTTTTGAAAGTTAATAAAATAGCCAATGGGGGGAATGAGAGGAAATTTTGATATGTAGACCAAATAACTCAAAATGTTATAGCGCTTCTAAATATTTGGAAAATTCAAACTCGGATCAAAGTTATCGGTCAGTGAAAATCAAAAAATCGCGTCGCGTTGTCGAATCGCGTCCGGTGCCCATACAGACCGGACGCGATTTGGCGACGCGAATGACATTTAACTTTAATATTTTTCTATGTTTTTTGAAATATTCGGAACCACTTAATTAAGCAATTTTAGCTATTTGGTCGGCATATCCTGTGAAATTTTTATCCGTTGACGGTTTTATTTGTTTTCAGTGAAAGCTGAAAATTCGCGTCGTGTTGTCGGTCTGTATGGGCCTTTATACGGCGACCGTGTTGTATTAACTCGATATATAACTCCTCGTTAGTTGTATATCTGATACAAGATTACATATTTTCTTTCTATAATTAAAAAAAAACAAGGCAGGAGCATTCGTTCTACACGTGAGCAGAAACGGGAAGCTCTGTGATGAACCTAGCTAGTTAGACCGGTTTCATACGCGTTAAGCCACGGGGAAAAAATAAACTAGTAAATCTTGCAAGAAAATGACGCGCCTACCTAAACACCGGCTTTTAGACTTCAATAATTTCACGAATATAGTCCAACTAAGCACAAAATATTTTCACTCGACTGTGATCTTTCTGACAACATGGGCAACGAGAAAAAGGTTCTTCCCGATTCGAAACGAGCATGGATGACACTGGCGACTTTGATATTCTCACTATTCGCTAGTGGCGGTTTACAAATGTCATTTGGAACTATCCTCGGCGCGCTAGTTCGAGAATTTGGCGAGTCTAAAAGCACGACAGGTAAAGTCTACAATTATATTTGAATATATAGTTAGGGTACAAGTATAGAATAGTTTCCCGAAGCACTATGACGCGACATATGGTGGTTAACCGAAACTTATATGATATAAAGAGAATGAAATCAAATGTCAATGGGCCGGCAGTTCTGATATTGATCGAACCCTCAACTGATGACGGATCGATTGTTGTTGGTTCACGCATCACGTTTTCATGAATATCTATACTTTGAATTTAATGCGTCGCGCGTTCGCGTTATTGCTGTGGTTCAAATTTGCAAGTTAGAATTGGTTTGGCGAAATTCATGATGCGATGGTTTTGTACAGTAACTCAGTAAGTTCATAAGCGCATATGGCAGTAATTTGTGACATCACGCAAGCATGTAGACGTTGAAAAGCTGGCGAGAACTCACAGATCGAATATAAATTTATAGTATATATTACTTCCTTGAAGGACTGTTTTAACAGATTTAAATACGTGGAAACAAACCCGAGCGAAAAGGTTTGCTGTCCAAATAGGCGGAAACATATAAACATTGGCTACTTTGAGAATGAGAGATTTGATAAAGGTGAATATATATGTATTAACTATAAGATCCGCTTAATACAATCACATAAAGAAATTGTGATAACTGAACGCCTTCATGAAAATGTTAAATATCAAATACACACGTTGAACAATATTATTAAAGTTTAAGAATCTGTCGGGGCCGCCTTAGCCAGTATTCCAGTCCACCGCCCCAAAAATGGTAGCCTGTTTTCAACTGGTGTCAAAAGGTTAAATAATAACAAGACAGAAACATAAGGACACAGTTCGTGAAGGTTCATCATTTTAGCGCATTCCAACCGCTCTACGTTTTCAAATGTGAAGCAACTCCTTAGGTTCTCTCAATTCTCAACTACAACGTGTACGTGAGAAGGACGGTTGCCAAAACAGTAGATTTCGAAAAACGTACATCATTATCGGATTGTCAGGCAGCCAAACCTTCCGGGCAGAATAGTCACGAGATATAGTCTGGTAAACCTGTATCTTGCTGCCCACGTCATAAAACTTGTCTCTACAAACTTTTTTAATTCAGGATTGAAACTTGTCCTAGAACTAACAAGGTTAAACTGAATATCTTAGATCAAAAATATGATTGTAATATATCACACACAACAAACAGTAGTCATTTGAAATACCCTGAAGACAAAAGTGCGTTGAAAAACTAGGCGATACCTGTTAGTTCATGAACACTAAGTGAGATCCTTATATATAAAACATACATGGTTGCGCTGATTATGCTAATCAAACGTTCGCGTGTATAACTCTGCGTCGATTTTATACAGAATTTTCCCATTCAAATAATATATATCTCATTATCAGACATGCAGTTACAATCCTATCAAAATTGTGAAACATGTTATTAGTCTCACTAATAACTTCCCATGAAGCGGTTTTTGCCATTGAATGACTGCCGTGTGCATTCATCTGTCATTTACTGGATTAACTATCCAAAGTTCGTTTCGCTGTTAGGAAAAACTTGTTTTTGACTAAAAACTGGGTGGTTTTCACACGCAATTCTGTTTTTATATTTCTAAATCCCTTAACAATATTTCCGTTTTACTCCCAACTTTGTCAATGCCTTGGGAGTTGGGAAAATAACAAGTCACACGCAAAATAATATTTATAGTTTTGTTCAGTAAATTTCGTGTAGTTTTATCGCCCTAATTTTTACAAAAAGAAAAATATTGGTCAACTATTGTTAAATACCCTCAAGAATATCCCGCAATACAAGTCATGTCTCTACCGATACATTCCAAGTCCAAGATGTCTACAATATAATTGATAAGGCCAAACGTAGAGAAATAGAATACTTTGCAGCCGTTTATTCCGAGTTACCGTTGTTGCATATTCATGAAAATACGAGACCCAGCTAGATTAAGAAAGATTTCTAATCTACAACTGGTACAAAACAAGTAACAGATCCACAGACTATTTTTCTTTGCTTGAATGTTTTTAATAATACGTATATTTCTGACGATAGTGTTGAAAGCTCCCTTCTGAGAACAATATTTGGTTAAATCAACGTCACAGTACCGACTGTAGTGATTATACATAACAGACATGCCAATACAGTGACTAAAATTTTGATTTGTTTTCCAAACCGGTATCACCCAAATGTGAACCGGTAACAGAGAAAACTTAAAATTTGCGGTGCTTGCTAGAGTCTTGAGTTCTCACATGATGTCACATGCGATTGACATGAAATTATAATCGGACAATTATTAGAAATTATAAGAGAGAACAGTTTAGGGAGAACAGTTTAGAACTGATAGAGGTACCCAGTATAAATAAAGTTAGTTTAGGTTTCCTCCTGTAGTAACACTGAATCAATAAGAGATGATCCTTACTGGACATCTAGGAAGAACAGTTTAGAACTGATAAAGCTATCCAGTATAAATACAGTTAGTTTAGTTCAGGTTTCCTACCAATACAGGATGACCTTTACTGGACCTCTAAGAGTTATTTCTAATCGGGTGCTGTTTCTAACCAATGCATTTCTTTACATCTAGCTTGGGTGGGAACACTGGTGGCATTCTTCAGTAGTGCTGTTTCACCAGTAGCGATATTCTTGGCGCAAAGACATGGCATTCATACAACACAATTTGTCGGAGGAGCCTTCCTAACTGTCGGAGCAGTCGCCACGTCATTGGTCACCACCTTAAACTACATGTATCTTACATATGGCGTTCTAATTGGCATCAGTGGCGCATTAATATATGCGCCTGCCATAGCAACAATCCCAGATCTCTTCACAAAACATGTCTCCATAGCAACCGGTATTGCGTCAACAGGATCCATGATTGGCTTAATATTTTTCTCGTTTGTACTACCCACACTACTGGACGAGTTTGGTTGGCGCAAAGCATTATGGTGCGTGGCTGCAATTGGACCGCTGATCGGTGTGAGCGGCTTCTCACTTCCAAAGACTGTATCAGATAACACTTGTGATGCAAATGTTGCACAGCAAGCCCAAGAACCTTGGTGGAAATTGGTCAAGAAGAGAGCATTTATTTTGTTGAGCATTTCTGTCGTCTTGTTCTCGTTGGTTGATTTTGTGCCGCTATTCATTGTGGTAAGTGTGAAAGTGAAGGAATAATTACGTATTTGCAATGAATAATTACGTATTTGCAATGAATAATTACGTATTTAGCTTTATTCTCTTGTTTATAGAGTTAGCAACCTTTTTAAATGCATCTGCCGGTTGAGAAATAATAGTTAAAAAATGTCCATTAAAATACAATTATCAATGATGCTTTAAAATTGACGCCATATTTACAGCCATATAAGCAAAACTTACTGAACTTTTCCTCTTAACCATCAAAAAAATCTTTACAAAATACAAAATAGATAAAGAAGAAAGCTGATAGCGATGGAGTCAAAAAGAAAACTTGTCGGCTGATAATGAATTTGACTTCCTCCTGGAATTATTAAATATTTGAGTAAGCACCAGAAATAACTGGTCAGTGTTATCAGATGTATAATCATTCCAAATTCTATATATTTATCTCTTATTTTCTTCCAGCCTCTGTGTGCCACAGAATCAGGAATGCCTCAAACACAAACGAAATGGTTTAACATCGTCTTTGGCTTTGGCAGTCTGATAGGACGACTCATCTCTGGGCCACTGACAAAGCCTCTACTCCGCCGAGACCGATGCAAATATCTCTTCCTGACTTGTCTATTCCTGTACAGTCTCTCATCGTTCCTTGTATCCTTAACTATCAAGTTTGAATACTTGATGTCCTATATGGTCCTTATTGGTCTCCTCAATGGTACTATGGCTAATCTGTTTTTCTTGGTTATACTGGAAGTGGTTGGTCTCGCTGGATATCCAACCGCATGCGGAATAAATCTTGCCATATGTGGTCTCTCCTACACAACAGGGCCACCTTTAGCAGGTATGTGTGCTGGTCAACTGCTTGTAGTCTGATTGTTGCCTAACATTATAGTGGGTACTAGCTTGATCAGTTCTAAACTGTTCTTCCAAGAAGTCCACACAGGTGAGATCAAAGGCCGCGTTGAGGCCGACTCACGGACACAGATGAAATCAAATGAAAGTGACAGAAAGAATGGACTAATCCCCAATTAACCAAAATTTTGATCTAAACAAGACTAGATAAAAATTTTATCACAGCTTGAAAGAGCATCACAAAATTAGTAATATTCCAAAGCTTCGTTGCAAACTGTTGTAAAATGCGGATAATATAGCCTTGCGAAGTTTGCAATTTTCAGTCATTTTAGATTACAAATGGGAAATGGTTACCACTTCTGCGCGTAATACAAAATGCTGAAAATTACAAACTTCGCAAGGCTATATTATCCGTATTTTATAACATTTTGCAACGAAACTTTGGAATATTACTAATTTTGTGATGCTCTTTTAAGCTGTGATGAAATTTTTGTTTAGGCTAGTTAAGATCAAAATTTTGGAAAAGTGGTAACCATTTCCCGTTTGTAATCTAAAATGATTGAAAATTGCAAATTTCGCAAGGCTATATTATCCGCATTTTACAACATTTCGCAACGAAACTTTGGAATATTACTAATTTTGTGATGCTCTTTCGTGCTAGGATGGAATTTTGTCTAGACTTGTTGAGATCAAAATTTTGGTTGGGGAATGGTCCATTAGAGCAGTTTGCAGTTGTGTTTGCAAACGGGCGCACCATGCAAATTTTACCATTTCTCATGCTTCTTTTGCCAAATCAAAAGAACAACATCTGTGAGTCAAAAACCTAAACCAAACTAAGTTTCTCCAAAAATTTAATGAAAATGAACAATCTATTTTTCCAGGTCTTCTCTACGAAAGCTTTCACAACATCAAATATCTCTTGCTAACAGTATCTGGGACAACATTTCTGTCCGCAATTGTCATGGCAATAATACCATGTGTTACGCCACGTCGGACATACATGTTACATCAAAGTGACTATGATTTCTGGCGGGTATATTGTCACAATCCAAACATCAGTCCAAGAATGCCGAGGCAACGGACAGTGTTTACTGTTAGTGAAGTTGCAGTTGAATGTCAGGCTAACGAGAACTTGGCATTCGAAAAAGATGAGAAGGTGAAGACGAAAACATTGGCTCTATCTGTTTCAAGGACAGAGCTTCTCCAATCAGAAGAAATTCCTTAGCCTACTACAACCCAACATTTGGTATTATGAAAATCCATTCACGTGAAAAAAAATCTCCGAAAATGAGAAAACTCTACCAGAGGAAAAATAGCAAGGAGTATAAGTGCCAGCGCTCTCCCGTTGACGAGTGTGAAATCATCTGGCGTTAGTAAAATAATAAAGTAAGGTGCATTGGGGCACAATGCAACTCAGTAGGTTAACCCATGAATGCAATGCTTTCTCCTCGTCGAGATAATATTTTCCAGTTTTGAACAGAGTGAAATACAAAAGCTTGGTGGTTGATATGCTATACATAGTCAACCAGGGTTTTCAGTTTAGGCCGGCGAACGGCAAATTTCGCCAGACTTTTTCATTCAGCCCCACCCAAATTCGCCAGAGCTTTTACATAAATATATAATCCATGTGCACGAATTGATTGTGAAACTTAACTCAGGCCCAGTCTAGGCTTTTCCCTTTTACCGTAGCTTCATTGCCATTAGCCAGAGCCTCACACAAAACTGAAAATCCTGATAGTCAACTAAGCCAAATTGTCAAAAAATGTACATAATAAATATAGATACAGTAAATATCTTAATATATACCCCTTTATTTATGGTATTATAGTAATGTTATTATATATTGTGGTAATAATTGTAGTAAAAGGCCCATGTAATATGTGTAATTATCAGTGCATTTAAAAAGCTAGATACCTGCCAATAAAAATATTATGTACAATACTACAGATGTAATATTTTATAACAAAATTTAATAAATGTGAAAATACATAAATTGATTGATGGCCAATAACAATATAAACAAATACTGTAGGTACATAATTTTAGAAAAACTTATTTGAAACCCTCTCCCAATTAACTCCCTGAGGCAGTTTGCAGAGCGTGGAGAGTGCACATAATTTTTTTGTGTTGGACTGTCACTCATTGTATGTGCATGCAAAAATGTCAAATAACAGCGGGTGATCGTAAGTTGTGCCTTTCTGTCGTCAGAGTTATTCTGTGTGCAAATGAGTATTATATCAAGACATACTGGCAAGACATACATGCTGGGTTTGAACTTTGGTGGATAATCCAAGTGAGCATATACTGTATACACAAGTTGAGCCCTAACCAGGAACAGTTGCAAAAAATACCGCACCAGGTCCTCCAGCAGGGTTCGTAGTCTCCAAGACTAAAAAAAATCAAAGACTTTCAAAGATTTTTGCTGCCTATTTTCAAAGACTTTTCAAAGACCTTTGAGAGCAATCAGCTGTCGAAAAATTGCAAGTGTAAGCAAGATTTTTACCCAGTAATTAGTCCCATCAAATCACATCCTAAAATGCACCTTTTCGTCAATATTTGCGAAAATCTTGATTCAATCTATCTATTTTATTAGCTAGGAAATCGTATTATCAATTCCTCACTAAATAATTTAAATTCTTTAGAGACTCTTTGCTTTTTCACACAATTCAAAGACTTTTCAAAGACCTTAAAGACCTGCATTTCAAAGACCTTAAAGACCTGCACCCGAATTTAAAGACTTTCAAAGATTTTAAAGACCGCTACCACAGAATAAAGACATACAGAAGTGTATCTTCTCATTAAAACTGCGTAAGGGATTTTTTCAGTCCGCCATGTTCTTAGCAAGTGCCCTAAAGAGAGGCAGTCATGCCAGTCACCCCCCTGAAAACATATTGAAAATTTAATATTCCAGGGGGGTGAATGCCTCTCTTTCAGGCACTTGCTAAGAACATGGCCGCCGCTATTTCAGTAAAAAAGCGCCTTACGGTTTTGTAATGGAAGTTACACTTCTGTATGTCTTTATTCTGTGCCGCTACGAACCCTGTCCAGGTTAGGTCTTAAATTGCATACATATATGCTCACTTGGGATTATCCACCAAACCCTGCATTTATAGCAAACATTGAACATCCAAGAATAGCCTGTCCATTGTACACCACTAAATTCACCCTCCCAAATGTACTTCATTTTGGCTAAAGAGCCTCGTTTTCTCGTTTGTATGTGATATTAGTTAAACGTCTCTATTGCAAATATGACGCTGTAAGGTGACATATACTTTCTGCTGCGGTGTATTGTGTTGGCATTTTCCAAACTGGTTCCTACTTCCTAAGCAACAAACTACAGCAGTCAGAAGACCCAGAAGTCATAAAATTCTTCCTTGTACTGAACCAGGACTTTCTTTCTTTTTGGATAATATTCTATTTCTAAAGCACATTTCTGTACAAAAATCCTGATCAGGAAATGTATATTTGAACCTTGACTTTTTGGAAAACTACTGGGGGAAAATTGTGGAAATATATAAAACAACAAGGTTTTAATAGAACAGCTTTTAGTCATTTTAAACCGGCAAGAAAGACTTGAACTGTACAAAGCCACGTTTTGATCGCTTTTCAAAGCAAGAAAAACAATTTTTCATGGATTAAACGACTACCTAGCGAGCAAAACACAATAACGCCATTGTTCACATATAATATTACTGTAAAATTTACATATTGACAAAAATAATTTAAAATATTATAAATGTCAAATATACAAAAGTTTCATTCAACAAACCTGTATGATTGGGAGTATATATCATCTCTTGTCCATCTTTATATCTTTAATGTTTAATATCGATTCCATACAAAACCCACAAGTCCGAAAATAAATAAAACTTTTACCACAAAAAATATTGATAAAATTGCCAAGAACGACATATTGGATTTATTAAATACTTTATGTATGGCAATTAAATTGTATACACTGAGCTGTATATATCTGTACAGTTGACTACCAACATTCAAATAGTTACTGGAGTGATAGATCACCCTGCTCTTTATTCCAGTTAGGTATAGAGCTCAGAACCTCCACTGATTTCAATATACCTGGATGTAGCTGGAGTGATGTGGCAGAGGAGCTCTCTATATATACATACTGGAGTGCGCACTGAGTGACCAAAGTATTATTTCAGCTATATATTGAGCTCAGAATGTGAATTGATCTCTATACACTGGAAGTTAAAATGGAATGCTAATTATGAAAACTTAGGTTTTCCCAAGGAATACCCAGTTTTAGCCTGGGATAACCTTGGTGGGACATTACCGCAGGAAAAAATTTTGTATTGGGGGACTCATTAGTCAGGGGCAATTATTAGGTCATTATTTCTCTCTCAAACTTTACAGATTATCACTAGTTTACAAATTATTGGGGGGGGGGGGGGGGGGGGTCGAAGCCCCCACCCCCATGTCCTGTACGCGAGCAGTCCCTCGGGAGAAGAGGGACTGCTGAAACACATCAAGAAATAAAATACGCCCACTTTCGCACTTGTCAAGTTGGCTCCGCTTTGCATAAACATTACTTATGTCCAATTAAATCTATCCAATAGGATTATAGGAACCGTTAATGTCATTTTATTTATAAAATCAACATTCAGCAAAATTATTTATAGCATAATAACTACTAATAACTACGTATCAAATTTGATTGACAGGCGTATCGATTTCGACCAATGGGAATTTTGCGTTTTGTGGGCAACGCGGCAACCAGTGGCGGCAACGCTATTTCATTTCTTGATGTGCGGTCGACGTCGGCAGTCCCTCGTGGCCTCGTTTCCTTTCGCACGCCCAGAAATCTAAACCCGCGGAAAGGAGGGACCGCTCGCAGTCTACTTTTCAGGTTACTTATGGTGTCCACAATTGGCAGCTCTCAATGCAGTGCATTTTTTAAGTATTCTTCAGTGGTGGGGCAAAACTGCCAAAGGGCCCATTTTCTCCTTGCCCTCCCCCCAGGATAGTATGCAATCGCCGAAGGTGTGAGCCTGGGCATGCCCCCCCAGAAAATTTTTTAAATTTGGGTCTCTGAAATAGCATTTCCTGCATTCTGAGAATACATTTTAACAAAAATCTCAGCTTCTCAAAACAAAGTTTTAATGGTGAAATTTGTAATAAATTGCATGCTAAACAATCAAACACAACATAAATTTAAGTATAATCACCAACAAATTTTGTTTTTTAAACTTCTTTTCAATGTTAAACTCATTTACTCAATACAGCTCATAGGGCCCTGGCTTTGGGGCAAAAGGCAATTTTTTTCTTCAGTGGTGGGGCAGAGGAAGGGGCCCCGTGGGGCAAATGCCCCACGAATCCATTGTATTAAAAAATGTCTTGTCTCAATGAAAAAAATTTACACGATACAATTTTTGTCACAACTAAAGGCTGCTCTCCAGTCACGCGTTTTTCATACGTGCGTATACGCACGGAAAATTTTAAATCTTTTTAAATCTAACACTAGTACGAATTACCTGTACAAATACACATTAAATCATTCACAAAACTATATGCTTTCCTTTTATTCATTCAGTTATTTCATAAGTAACATTTAAAAAGATTCCGTGCGTATATGCACGTATGAAAAACGCGTATTTTGGAAATAAATATGCATTTGTATAATGTCACAACACGTCAAAACAAGAACTATAAAAAGAAAGTGCAATCTCAGCAAAGAAAAAGAGCAAACTAGGGCTGTGAAAAAGTTTATTTACATTTTCGCCATGTCTTTATTGTTGCACATAGTTATGGAAGGATAGGAAAAATTAAGAAAATTTATAAATACAATACACACTTCTGGACAGCATGTCACCTTGGCAACAGAGTCTTGTTTTCACAATTTAGCAAAGGTCACTACATACACAGGAAAACAAGTTTCTATTTGCAACGTGAAATCCAGAAGGGTGTATTCCTATTAAAAGCAGAGGTTTGGAAGTAGAGATATTACCCAAATAGACCTTATGCATAATTACGTCACAAGGCTTGCTGCCCGCGAGGAATGCTGGTCTTAGTAGCCATCGCCCGGGAAAATTTCGATAGTGGCCATTTTGAATTGTTTAATTTTCCAGGGCGATGACTACAAGACCAGCATTCCATGCGGGCATCAAGCCTTGTGACGTCATTATGCATAAGGTCTATTGCTTTTGTCAGACAAAAATATACATCACTATGGAAACTTACAATGAACTTAGACATGTATTTCTGAATAACACCCTAACACAATATTAAAATTAACTACAGTTGTTCAAATTGTCTCTATTAATTACAAGTCACTACTCTGTTGTCCCTCCCATTTTAAACCCATGCCTTTTGTAAATTTGTTTAGTAGTCTACATAATTTGTTTGCCGGAGAAAATGGAGATTAATAGTTCAAAGGCAGGGCAAAATAAAATGGTCACAGACAAGAAAGGTTTGCAAGCATATTCAAAAATAATACATGAGAATTATACAACCTCCACCAACAATATAAATGTTATTTCTCGAAAGTCTGAGATATTTAAGACGACAACCATATATAAGACAGCATTGTGCTATCACATGGCATACTTTCTCGTCCACTCTGATGCTGTGGTGTTGTATTTCTGTCTATCGGTTTTGTACAGTCGGGCTACTTCTGGAACTAGCGGGTCATCAGGATTAGGATCGTTTAACAGTGAACAAATCGAGAGAAGAACTATGTGGAATAATTGTAAAAGTTAGCACATGTAGGGGTAATCTAGAACTATCAACATTTTTATGACGATGCACAACATACCTTTTGAAATAGTTAAAGCAGGACTCCACTGTGATCGCAGAATATCAAGGCAAATACTGCCATTACTGTTTATATTTGGATGATAAATTTTTGTTGTAAAAGCCACCTGACAAAGTAAAAACCAAAAAAATTTTATTACAATGCTCACAAATACAATGTCCTTTCATTATTTTACTCCCTAACATCTGTCAATATTTATCAACTTACTGTTTGGAAATTGACGTTATTTTGGTTTAGACATTTAATGTATTTTGGAGGACAACAATGGACATTTAGAGTTTGTAGGGGATTGCTGAACACATGCGAGAAAACAGGGGGGAGTGGGATAAAATACTGTTACTGTGACTGTGACTTGGGATTTTAAAAACAGCAAGTTGTGATTATAGTTCATTATAGAAAATGTTCTATTAAATTGTAAAATACATTTCGTGTTCTGTATTTCTTTGGAGGCACAATAAACAATTCGGAATACGTACTACAAATATTTTTTGAAAAATATCTGCTAAATGTGAACCAACAAATTTACCAACTGACAATATTCATTAGCCAGAGTAAAATAATATTAGTAGGGTGTATGAGTAACTCTAGACGAAGGGCCTTCGCTCGAAACGTCAAAATTCCCTTGGTATTTTTCAGGCAGTTTCATCACTACCAATGAAAGCTTTATTTTTACACGTTTTTACTTTGTTTTTACACAATGCAACTTAATGAGTTAACCAAACAATATGACTACTCCGATCATATTCGACAAGGGGAACCTCCCCTTTTTCTGGGAACACCACTCCCCAGACTAGCATGTGACAGTTCCTGGAAACCCAATACTGGGAGGTTTGTATGTGATGCCGAATATATAGCCGGCATGCCGCAAAGGTGTTTTTATGCCAGGTTGGCATACATGATTTTAGTCTACCTGGCATACAAAAGTCAGAAAACACCAGGTGGTATAAAATCTTTGGCATGCGAGGGACAAACTTTCCACTAGGGCACAGGCATCACAACTATGTCATGTCACTGGTTATTTGTTACAATTTCTTGCTGAGAATTTTGCATAGTAAAATGCTTTTATTAAAAAATGCTTACAAAGCCAAAAGCATTATAGCTATCATGCACTTCATTAATGAGTATAGTCAATGACATATAAGTCATAACACACATATATTGTTGTTTTACCCAAATATTCGTGTTTTTTATTAAATTTCCGCTTACCTTCGGTGGTTTAAACGGGTAGTCTGTAGGAAAATGAATTGTCAGGAAAAAGACACCCCCTTGGAATGGCGTGTCAGGCTGTTGCATAACAAAAGAAGAACATTAATATACACATGAAAAACGTTTTAAACTTTTGTACATTTGTTCAAAACTTTGGGAAACATATATATACACTCACCGGACCCATTATCGTCGCTTGCCAATGAAAAACTAAAAGAGAAAACAGGTCTGTAAATGACAAACGTCATTCGCCATACCCAAGTTGTTGTAAAATAAGACACATATTGTTGAAACAGAAACGAACTTTTATGGCCATTAAAACACGAAATAAAGGCCACAAAAGCAAATAACAGTAATTGTAGTATCTGTACGTTGTATTCTAGCACAGTTTTACTGCCTCTCAGCTGTGAATGTCTTTAAAAAAATTGAAAAACTTACGGTCATCGCCAACGGGGCCGGCGGAACATTGAGCAGGAGGATCTCGTCCTAAGTCTTGTAATTCCTACAGACAGAAGAAAACCTGTCATAAAAGCATACTTATCAATCAAACAACAAGAGTGGATGATACTCTAAAGTCTGCGTCGACTACTGCGTGTTTTCCAAGCGCTACGATGCACAAAACTGGCCTCATCATAAAATCACACAACACACTTCCCAAGCTTCGCGGAAGTGCGAACTGTTCGTCCAAGCGAGCGTATTTCTGTACCTTGTGTATTCTTTTTAGAGCCATAAAAGCATAAAGGAAAAGAACCTACTCTCCAACCCGTAAATTATATTTAAGAGAAACGGCCTCACTTTTGCGATAATTCTAGTTGTCTTGTTGGTAGGCCAAAAACGGGGAGCCAGCAAAAAACGTGCCTTTGTATGCGGGGTGGACACACAAAAAACTTACAAATTGCAGGGGCTTCCGCAATCAACATTACCCGACCGGGGATAATATGCTTATAAATATTCTGCGCCGACCTGTTCGGTCCAGAGTGTTCGGTCGGTCGTTTTTTGGCTTATAAGAAGCCAGGGGCTAACCCCACATAATTATACAAACTCCCAAAACCGGTCAGAGGCGTGCAGCTGGCAAAAATCCTTAATATTCTGTTTTTTCAACCGAGATGCTCAAGATTTAGAATAATTATATAATTTTATATAGATAAACTTGTGGTTTAAAATAATAGTTTAAAACACTGAACCTGTTCATAAAATTTTTAGGCCAAAAAATTCGGCTAGTAAAAAGAATATAAGCAATAACTGAGTAATATAAACTTACTCCAGGTGCGCATATGGAGATCACAAAAATAATCGAGCAAAAAAAAAGGCCTGTGTACGAGAATAACGACGACACTTGACGAGAACTTCCGAGCGACCCTTTAATTCATTAAAAAATCTGCTATATTGAGCAATACCACGTTTGCGTCGATTATTCACAGAATTTTATACTTTGCAGCGATTTCTGTCTTCTGCAAGACTTAAAAGATAAAATATGAGGTGAGTGCGTGGTAAAAATTGTTGTATTTATTTTGTAAATATTGAAGATTCCCAAAAACGTTCAGATTAAGAAGAATGCACGGATTACATGATTACATGAATCGCATGACCGCACGAACACATGTGAACAAGGTAGTAGTGATTGGACGCATGATCTGCAAATCTAGGGTCAACCAAGGTTCTAAAGGACTAAATGGAATGAGGAAAGCAGCTAGCTGCTCATGCATGTTATTAGTAGCATGCTATATCATTTTTTTGAAATGCATTCCACTTTACAGTATATAATGTAGTTTTTCCCTCAAAAGATTGCCAGCCACTACAACCTGTTTCCTGGCTAAAGTACTTTGGCAACCTTTTGAGGTAAAAACTGCATATATCTGCTCTATCCATATGATATCAAGGACTCTTGAGCATTTCATGAACCAAATATGTATAATAATATGAATCACGAATGTGTTCACAAAATGCTCGATAAAGAGTGCTCGATATCATATAGATAGAGCAGATATTAGAGGTTTGCAAATCCGATCTGTTCGGATTTCAGAACCAATATATTCATTTCGGATCGGATTGATAAAGTCGGATTATCCAATGCATTTATCAAAGCATTATCACGGTTCTCACTGCATTATTCGCTTGATACTTCAATTGGACGTCACTTTGTCAGCTTCTTGACATGTATTTCTTGCCTTTATATTTATTTGGTTTTAAATATTTCAACTTGAATGAGAAATTTATTTTATTAAAGAATTCTTCAGATCGGATTGGAATTCTTTATCAAAACTTGGATCGGATTCGGATTAGACAATTTCGGATTGGATTTTAAACATTCGGCAATTGTTGGATTATAAACGTCCAATCCGATGCGATGCACACCTCTAGCAGATATAGTTGTTTTACCTGAAAAGGTTGCTGCAACAGCCTGAACATCCAAGACTGATGATTCCTCTTGGATGAAACAGGCTATTGTGGCAACCTTTTCAAGTAAAACAACTATATATATATATATATATATACATGCTTGATTTTCCCCACAGCATCAAAGAAGGAGTTCTCTTGGGTATGGGCAATCCACTTTTGGATATAAGTGCAGTTGTTGAAAGCGACTTCTTAGCAAAGTATGGCTTAAAAGCAAACGATGCAATACTGGCAACAGACCAACACAAACCAATGTGAGTCAATTCAAATATTATTTCTAAAAGCGTATTATACCACTGGCATCAACCATGATCAAATCCAACTATTGTGAGTCAATTTTGTAGGTATCAAGAAATGGTCGAGTTAAAAAATGTTGATTATATGGCCGGAGGTGCAACTCAAAACACAATCAGAGTTGCACAATGGTTGATGCAACTGCCCAAGGCTGCGTCATACATTGGCTGTGTAGGTAAGACTGTTATTCTATGGTGTACGAGTCTAGCAATGCAACTAACCCAATTATTGGACCACTGTGGCTACAAAAAGAAAACTGGTTGTTCAAAGCATGGTTAACACTAACCCTGGGTTAACATTTAACCCATTGAGCACTGTGGTTTATGTATTTCTGTACATCTGTTTATTTCAAAACTTCAGAAAATGAAACATCTGATAATTTCCAAGTTTATAAATAAGCTGCTGGGAAGTAGTGAAGTATGCTTCAAATTTCACGTTGTCCCAGGATTAAGCTAACCAGCTTTTGAACCAGCACATGGTATTTTAGTACAATCAAATTTGAAGCATTGTTCTCATGCGATGTGAAATTATAACGAGACTAGCATGAATATCTAGCTGGAATCTGGGTACACCAGCTAAAGACACATGCAGTAACCACCGTCTCATTTTAGGAAAAGATGATTTTGGTAAAATTCTTCAACAAAAAGCAGAAGAAGCAGGCGTTTGTGTACAATATTTACATAGTGATGACCAAGATACCGGCACATGTGCTGTGTGTATAAGTAACAACAATACTGCAAGGTAACATATGGAAAGCTTATGTTCAATCAGTTCAAAACTGTTCTCCTTAGAGGTCCAGTCAGGTTATATCCTTTACAGTACTGCTGCATACAATGTCATGCAGTTGCCTGACAAAACTGAAATAACCAGAGCAAACCTCAAGCATTCTTCGCACTTGCAACAGAGGTGAAATTATAATCAGACTACTGCATATGCAGGAAACCAGTCCAGATGTGATTAATTATGGTACATGTACTGACCTCTGTGTACTGCTAATATTTCAGATCACTTGTGGCAAACTTAGCAGCAGCCAATCACTATAAGAAAGAACATTTACTGGAAAATTGGAAGACAGTGGAAAATGCAGAAATATTTTATATATCAGTAAGATGATCTACCATAAAAAAGCTTAATATTATAAATTGTATATGCTGTATATAAACCAGTCTATATACTGATTTCAGATTTTTATAATAAAATCCACACTCTAGCTATTACGTTGTCATCTTCATATGATCACCATGACCAACTAGGAAACCAAGAAGGTCAACGAAATTATTGCTACTGCAAACTTCTTTTCTCTACTTTACAAACCTCACAAATCTTTTCTGTTTCAGGGATTCTTTCTGACTGTTTCACCGGAGTCAATTATGTTGGTTGCAACACATGCAACAGAAAATAAAAAAGTAAGGATCTGATACTTACATCAGAAACCACTGCCAATGGTAGACTGTCTTCACTGCTATTTTACTCCAGGATGGATTTACTGGGAGAGGTGTACAAGGGGGGAGTGTACATCTTCTAAATGTATCCATCCCTGACTGCATGGGAGGGGGTGTACAAGGGGGGTGGGTGCACATCTCCTAAATGCCTCCATCCCTAACTGGGAGGGGGTGTACAAGGGGGGGTGTGCACATCTCCTAAATGCAATCCATCCCTGATAAATTTCAGTTTGTTTCTGAGAAGGTCATAATAAAACTTTGATAAATTTCTTTCCAGGTTTTCACAATGAATTTGTCTGCGCCATTCATTGCCCAGTTTTTCAAAGGACCTTTGATGAATGCAATGCCACATGTTGATGTCTTGTTTGGAAATGAATCTGTATGTTGAATATTTCTTATGTTTATTTTCATCATCAAAGAAATATGCTTAGCCTTTCATAAGCAACCTAAAACTATACCTACCGTAATCCTAACAAGTAATTATTGTCCTGCATAGGAGGCTCTGATATTCTCAAAAGAACAAGGATTTGAGGTATGTGATACTTTTTAGTTCTGTGTTCTTTGTTTATAATGCCATATAACATGATGCCAGAAAATGAATTCAAAACACAATGTTATATAATTCTATCAAAATTCCAGACAGAAGATATAAAAGAAATAGCAATAAAGATCGCTAACCTGCCACAGGCTAAGGACAAGAAATCACGAACAGTTGTTATCACTCAGGGAAACGAGCCCACCCTAGTTGTTCAAGGTAATGTTTGGTTGGCCCTTTACGTATGTGATAGTACACCCTGCATCTGATTTTATTCCTCAAGCAGACAGTGCTGCCACTCAATGGCCCAGCAATGCTTAATTTTTCATAAGATATCTGCAGATTGCAAGAGATACAAGTTCTACCTGAAAACGAAGATTCAACAACATAAGAAATTTCCAATTTTCCAATGGGGGGGGGGTGCCACTGAACTTAGCAGGCTGACAAAGGGCCTTCGCTCAAAACATCAAAGTTCTGCTTGTATTTTTCAGATAGTTGTATCTGTCGCAATCCACGTATACCGTTATCTTATTATTGTCTCTAGCCTACATACACTGGCATGGATTGCTCCAGATTAATTTTTCTTTGTTGAACTCTTTGAACAGATGGTAAAGTTACTGAGTATCCAGTTTCGTTGATAAAACAAGAATCTATTGTTGATACAAATGGTGCAGGGGATGCCTTTGTCGGAGGTGAGAATGCAGCTTGACATATAATCCAAACTGATCAGTTCGAAATTGTTCTTCATAGAGGCCAGTAAGGATTACCCATTTGGTCCAGTGTTACTACAGAGAAATCCAGAGTACCCAATGAAAACCAGCAATGTTTTGTAGAGTCACTGGGAGCAATTTTTGCATGTGACTGGGGTGAAATTATAATCAGACCAATGCATATTGCAGGAATTGATTGCTGAGGCACATGAACTATTGCTTGCTTGATGAATTGAATGCTGGTTGCTAAGGTACATTAACTAACCACATGTTGTGATCCACACC